TTGCAACCCTGAAAGTGTTATGCAGTCCATTGTGTAACATGGATGCATTGAAAGGACTTTGTTGTTGTTGTTGTTGTTATTGTTGTGGTTATGTGCTTGCTGTCAAGTCACTTGTGACTCATAGTGACCCCTACCCTGCTCTATCCTGTGCCAATCTTAACTGTCTCTACACACCTATCCTTATTACCCCAGTCACTGAATCAGTCATCTCATCGAGGGTCTTCCTCTCTTGCACTGTCCCTCCACCCTCCCAAGCATGACATCCCTCTCCAAGTACTGGTCCCTCCTTGCAACATATCCAAAGTATGTCAGATGAAGCCTCAGAATCCATGCCTCCAAGGATTTACTTTTTGGTAAGCAAAATAACTCAGTCACAAAAGGACTATTAGAGTGCCCCTATTATAAAAAGCTTGGGAAAGGCTTACACATAGAACCATTCTTAGTTACCAGGAATAGAAAGAGGAAGAGATATGTAAAAAAATTAATAAATAGATAAACTAAGTAAAGGAATAGACCGTATGCAGTCAGGAAGCTGATCAGGTATTGTAACTAATTATTTTAATTGTAATTAATGTTAGAAAATAAAATGTATAGGAATGAGCAGATGAAATTTTAATTGCAATACTATGAAAAATAAATTTTAAAAGCCAGAAAAAAAAAGCCCAATAAAACCCTGTAAAATAAATAAATAAAACCTTTGCCGAAATAGACAATATAGACAATTTCCTGCCCTCCTGAGCCGAATTTCTTTATTTGTTCCTATTCCTCTTTAAGTGACATAGCAACATAATGACACCTTTTATTACAGCACAAAGGATGAATTTTCATTATCCAAACTTATTCCAGACTGCTATGGCTTGTTGGTTCGTGTGGATTTTTTTTTTTAGGTCTGGTTTTTTTTTAAATTTGGTTTTTATGCCTTCTTGTTTGTAGTTTCATAATTCACTTTATATCAGTATAACTTCTGTATTGTGGTTATGTGCCATCGAGTTGGAACTGACTCATAGTCAACCATCCAGTAGCTTTTTCGAAGCTGTAAAAACACCCTGGAGGAGGCTGCCCATCTTTCTCCCTTGAAGCAGCTGATGGATTTGAGCAGTTCGTGGAGTTGCCAGCTCAGCTCCTCAACATTAAGCCACCAGAGCTCCGTGACTTCTCTAGATTGCCTTATTTATTGAAACCTTTCCTTTGCCAAAAGAATTTGGACCCCCCCAAAAAATTGCAAATAAGCAAAAAGCAAAACATTTGTTGAATATAATAAGTAAGCTGTAGTGCGTTTTGTGGCAACTATCCATCTGAGAGCTGGACAGTGAATAAAGATGTCAGAAGCTTGAATAGGATGAAGATGCCTTTAAACTGAGGTGTTGAAGAAGGTGTTGAAAATCCCATGGACTGCCAAAAGAACAACAGATATCTCTTAGAAAAGGTGCAGCCAGAGTGTTCCTTGGAAGCAAGGATGGCAAAGCTTTGTCTGTCATACTTTGGACATGTAACCGGAAGAAGCTATTCCTTGGAAAGGGACAGTGTGCTTGGAAAGGTAGAGGGTCAGAGAAAGAAAGGAAGATCTCCAATGAAATGCATTGACATGGTTACTGCCACAATAGGCTCAAGTGTCTCAGAGATGATGAGGATGGCACAGGGCAGGGCAGGATTCAGGTCTGTTGTTTATAGGGTCACTATGAGTCGTACTCAGTTCAATGTACACAACAACAGCAACATGTTAACTACTAAGCTTCAAATTATTTCAATGCTAAGAAATACTTCAAAAATTACCTACTATAACTCCCTATTGTTTAGGCAGAGATACTGATCAAAAGCTATCAGGGATAACCAGTGTCAATCCATGACTAATCCTGTTAATACCAAAGAGTCCCATTCTGTAAAATCAGTTCTTAAATAGGAGTTTCATCAGAATCATTTGGAGAATTATTCAAATATATACACCTGTGGCTGAACCCAGACGATATTGGTTCACATGTGCTGGAACAAGATCTGGTCTGTATGTTAAAAAAGAAACAAACAAAAAAAACCCACAAAACACACACAAACAGAATAACCAAAAACCTTGAAGATTCAGGCATATGGCCCTTTTCAGAACCACTGTGTCCTGCCACACACAGGATTGAGATCAAGTGAAAAGCAAGCCAACTCTTCCAGGCTTGCTTTCATAGTCCATGCAGGCTTTAACCCTGATAAAACTCCCCCTGAACAGACTGGCATTGCTCTCCAGGAATGACTGTACTGTCGGACTTTGTCAGGGGGCTGAGCAAATCAACACTGCCAAGCTAGAGAACTGCAGGCAGCCAGGTTGACACAGCCCTTCACACAGCCATCATACCTTTCAGGAGATGAGGAAATCACTGGTGACTGAAACAAAAGTTTGTTGAGGAGAAATTCAAAACAAAGTATTATGAAAGGATTAGAGTTGAGAGTAGATTCTCTTTGAAGGGAGTTTGTGCTAAAGAAGGAATAAATAGCATGGTAGCTGGAGGAAGACATGAAGGCAAGAGATGGGTGGGTTTTTCTGTGGGTTGTTTTTTTTTTTTTTAAGTTTTGGAAGATGGAGAAAAATGGAGTGTTTGAATGCTGCTGGGAATTACCCAGCAGAGAGAGAAAATTGGTAGTGTTGCATTTTTTAGTAAACCAGAAGGGCGTCAACCATCAGAGCACAAGCAGTTCATCTAAATATAAAGCAAGAGGAAAGGCAAGATTATATGGGTACAGATAGTTGCTGTTGGATGCCCTGGAGTCAACTGTCATCCTAGTGACCCCTTCTGAACAGATCAAAGCCTTGTTATGTACTGCACCATCCTCATGATTTCCATCTTGCTCAAGCCCTCTGTTACCGTCACTGTCAGTCCATTTTGTTGAGATTCTTCCTCTCTTTCTCTGACTCTCTGCTCTTCCCAGAACCACCTCTTTTTCCAGGGTCTGTCCTCCTGACAGCATGCTCACCATCCTTGTCTCTGAGGAGCACCCTGCTGGCACCTCCTCCAAGACAGATTTGTTTAGTCTGTGACTTGTCCATGGTATGTTCCCTACTCATTTCTAGCACCACAATTGACATGCATCCGTTCTTCAGTCTTCCTTATTCACTGCCCAAATTTCAGATGCCCAGAAAGCAATTAAAAAGACAGATGTAGAGTGATGGGTAAGTATATTATGAACAGGCTGTAGAAAGTCCGTTCAGATTGCATCTGTCCTAGGAAGCAGAGTTATCAGATGTGATTGAGGAAAAGGAAGAGATGCTGGAAATTTAAAAAATATTGTGTGAAAGAATTATCTACTTTTAAAAAATGAGTAAATAGACTGTGGAATTGCTGGAAGGACAGCTGTAAAGACACACTTGAATTTAAAGTGAATTCAGTGAGCTTGAATATGTATTTTACTGAGCTCTACAGTCAGCTAGCTGGGTTGCAGGCAGGGAGTAGGAGGAGAGGTGAGCCTAACTGGGTTTGGAATTTGTCTTATGAATTAAAAAAAAATGCAAAAGGGTAAAGAAATTATTTTAATAATGGATCATGAAATTTATGCTCAGTTATAAAAAAATAAGAAACTTGGAAGTTTATTATAAAAAGAAAAAGAACCTAGAAAAATAAGTGAATCGAGAGTTAGATGAAAGACAGTGGACAGTAAAAGAGAAAGTTTCAGAAAGGAGCTGACGATAGTGGAGGCATTTAGATTTGATGAGAAGGTTGTCACCATATTTAAGAAAGCTTAGAAAGATTGGAATGGTAGTACTTGGCCTGACTGAAATGAATTCTCCTTCACTATTTTAGAGGTGAAAGCTACAGAGAAAAGAAGAAAGAATGAACTAGGAGGCCAACTGGCAATTTATTAAAATTTACACCTTTTATCACAAAGATAAAACCCATTTTCACTACTGTCACACCATCCTTCCAGGCCAAACCACAAAATATCACAGCTGGAACAGATAGTAGTTATTAACACCAGTACTTCACATTTTATATGTAAGTAATGTGAGGCCTATATGTGGAACAGATTATCCAGGAGGCTGGGCTCTGTGAGGAGAAATCTGGCTTCAGAATTGGAGGTAGACTCATCAGCAATCTGCATTATGGATTACACAACCCTGCTTGCTGAAACTGAGGAGGACCTGAAGCACTTTGCTGCAGAAAGTCAAGGACTGCAACCTTCAATATGGATTGAAGCTCAACATCAGGAAAACAAAGATTCTCACCATTGGGCTGATTGGCAGCATCATGATAGACGGTGAAGAAATTGAGATTGTTAACAGCTTTAGTTTGCTTGGCTCTACAATCAACACAGCCAGGAAATTAAAAGACTAATTGCATTAGGATAGTCTGCTATCAGAGACCTCTCCAAAGTATTGAAGAGCAGCAATGTCAGTCAGGAGACTAAGGTGCACCTGATATGATATAGGCCATGATCTTTGCAATTACTTGCTATGCATCAGAGAGCTGAACAGTGACAAGGAATGATAGAAGGAGAATTGATGCCTTTGACCTGTGATGCTGGAGAAGAGTATTGAATATACCATAGACTGCTAGGAGAACAAACAAGTTAGTCTTGGAGAAGGTGAAACCAGGCTGTTCCTTCGAGGCAATGATTCTGAAGCTTCATCTGACATACTTTGGACATGTTGCAAGGCAGGATCAGTCCTTGGGGAGGGACGTCATGTTTGGGAAGGTGAAGGGTCAGAGCAGGCGAGGAAGACCCTTGATGAGATGAATTGATTCAGTGACTGGGGTAATGGGGATAGGTGTGTCGGAGACAATAAAATTGGCAAGGGATAGAGCAGGGTTTAGGGCTGTTGTACATAGGGTCGCTATGAGTTGCAGGCAACTCAGTGGCACTTAACGACAACAATAAATGTAAGGCCAAAATAGATTATGATTTATAAGTAAAAATAACCTCCTACTAGCTAAGATGGCATGCTCAGTGCTTTAAACTGGAAAGAAAGTTGCTTACTAACTTTTTCTGTAGCTATAATAATTTTAATCTTTTGATTTTATTAGGTTCATGACTACAAAGAAGGAACCCCAGAAGAGAAGACTTACTACATAGAATTATGGGATATTGGAGGCTCTGTGGGGAGTGCCAGCAGTGTGAAAAGCACACGAGCAGTATTCTACAATTCTGTCAATGGTAAAACATTTTTTATTTTGACCATATATTAATCATCTAGGAGCATAAATCATCTGACACAGAATGGTGTTGTCTGTTGTCTTAATCTTAATTGGAGAATGATTTTTAATTTAGACCTTTATTAACATATTCTGGCTTGTGTGTCTAGATTTTAACCGGGTAATTCAAATCTTCAAACATCTGCTTTATCTAATTGTTTTTAGTTATATTTTCCCCTTAAAGGAAAGATTGGAGAATAAAATGACATTGGGTAAGGTATCAAACATGGAACTTTCCAGAAACGGTCCCCTGGGACTGCTCTTCTCCAGCTGGCTGAGTAAATACCACGGTCTAAGTCAAATGTCACAGAGCTAAACAGAGTTCTTTGATCTGCTCCTTAGAGGTTAGGAGTGGTTTCAAGGGCATAGACATTTCTACCAGCTATCTAGAGCACATTTTCTGGATGCAGGTGTATAATAAAAAGCATAATTGCAATTCATAGAGTGCTTATTGGTGTCCTATGTTAAGGAACTAAAGCACTGATACCTGTAGGGTATTGTCTGGTTTTTTTATGTCCCCCCTTTAAAAAAAAGTTATTTTTTTTAAAATTTTGCACTAATTTGTTTACAAAATTCTAATACATTGTTTTAAAGAACAAATGCTTTCAGTTTCCCTCGCCCACCACCCATCAGATTGTACAACCCCATGATTAATTCCCCCCTCCTACTGGGAAATACAATTTCAATTTGCCTTTAATCAAAATATCAAAAGGCTTGACACTTCATCCTTCCTGTCATGATAAATGGGTAGCTATTAATAGGATCTCACTTATACTATATTAATGTCTGATTCAACAGTGAGTAAAACAGAGCATTGTTGCTCTTATTCCTCTTTCACTGGGGTCCCACTTCATAGGGTCTGTGGATAATAGAAAGAGCAGTTCTTACCATTGGATACATACTCTGCAGTAGAGGATAAGTTGTATTAGTTCAGACCCATGGCTTACCTAGTCAGAATTCCAGCAGAAAGTCACAGTTAAGGAAATGAAGCATACCCAAAAGAAATAAAAGATAATGGCATTAAGATAAATCGACATGATGAAGGAAAAGCATAGGAGGACATATATTAATATGGTGGAGATAAATTTGAAAAATATTATGGTAATTTAAAGTTCATAGTGTTAGAAAATTACTTTTTGAAAAGGAAATAACATAAAGCCTTTTTTAAAATAAAGCCTTTTTAAAACAAGTAATGAAGAAATAAGCATGGATTATGTCTGCCCAAAGACTTGTCAAAGTTAATATAGTGTAACAAAGTGACATTTTGCTATAACTTTCATTATATCTTCTTGGGAAATCAATATTGTAAAAGTTATAAATAATAAAGACAAAACCATTCCAGTTCTAGAAATTGCATACATTATGAATTGCAAACTAAGTGCTAATGAAGAAATCTATCTAACTTCCTAATTTATGATCTTTTGTAAACTTGTATTAGAGGTTTGTCTCCTCCTTGACTATTACTGCTTATGTCCTATAATGGTCTTATAGATAATGCTAAAATGTATTGTTTCTAGAAGTTTTAAAATATTAAGTTTAAGGGGAGCTCTGGTGGCCTAATGGCAAGAAGCTGCACTGCAATCCCAGAGGCTCATGGTTCAAATCCACCAGATGCTCTGCTGGGAAAAGAGGGACAATCTCCTGTACCAGTCAGATCCGATTTGACGGTACACACACACACACACACACACACACACACACACACACTAATAAAAGAATAATAATAATAAAAATATTAAGTTTAGTTGTTTATTGAAAAACTTCTTTGATCTTTCCACCACTAACCTGTCAACTTCTTGTACTGAGGTTGCCTACATGTTGCTATGATAGTGGAAGCAATGTTACCAACATTTCTAACGCCAGCAGGGTCATACAACTTGACTTCCAGACTAGACAGAGTGGGACAGAAGGACATAGTGATCTACTTTAAAAAAAAAATTGGCCAGGTAAAAAACCTTATGAACAACAGTTAAGCATTGTCTGATATGGTGCTGCTGGAAGATGAGTACCTTCGTTTGAAAGGCATTCAGAATACTGCCCATGAAGAACTGCTTCCTGAAAGTCACCTTATCGAAATGGATGGAGTGCAGCTTTCAGGACCTTCATGTGTTGATATAGAAACATGCACTCATCTATGCCAAGCATTTTGGAAGACAACTTACCTGGCCAGCTAATCAGAGAGATCTCTATATTTGTGTGCAGCCAGAGAAAGGCGATCCAACACCCTGTGAAAAGTAGTACATAGTACGTTGGTAGAGATTGTGACAATGGTGCAGAATTGGGCAAGGTTTTAATCTACCATCCTATGAGTCCTAGTTGAATCACTGTGCTTTCACAGGCTTGCAATGAGTTGTCCTAAGCATCTAACAACATTATTTCTTACCATAATGAATCGCTGTATCCTTGATGCCTCAAAGGACCCCTCACTAAGAGGTTGAAAGAGTGCAGTCGGGTGTGAGGACAAAAGGCGGATGTGTTTGTTTGACACCAAGAGAAATACAGACATCAGGAACAAGCCAACTATATATTTTAGATACACATCTTAATTACACAGATGGCCATAAAAACTAGATGAGCCAAATGATTTACTTCTGCCTTCTTGGTCAAATTGATCTTAAAGATGTGGGGAGAAACCATCAGTTTCATATTGTCTTCTCACAATACACAATGGGTGTGAGGAGAAAATATTAGATAATTGAAGTATGAAAGCAAACTATCTTTGGCCGTAAGATGATACATTTAATTCCGCTAGGCACTGAAGATTTCTTTTTTTCTTAGCTATGTCCTATAGTGATTGGCTTCGTTCCCTTTCTTTCTAAGGCCTTAACTGATCTATTTTAATGTATTTGTGTTTAACATTTTGTTCTTTTTCTAAATCTCTCCACAGTCTTTTTCTGCTATTTGTTATTTCTTGTCTATCTCCTCCTACCCCCTTCTAGTGGCGAATTTCTTTTGCTCTTTAGCTAAACCTCTCACAGATAGCAAATTTGCATAGCTAAACATTAATTCAGAGAACTAGAAAATGGTATTTTGGGTTGATTGGACCCAAGAGATCTACGAAACATTTTGTTAGCTAAAGAATAGCAGTTGTGGCAAATTACATTAATACCATTTTAATAAGTTTTCATTATCTAATATTCTTTTTCAGGGACAGAAATAATACGTGTATCCTAATGTCTTTGACAGTACTAGAGGAGATCTGGTGGCAGTCTGTAGGAACTTGAGCTGCTGACCCATAAATGATGCCTCTCTGGCAGTTCAAATGCACCAGAGAGAAAGATAGGCAGTCTCCTTGACATAGTTCACTGTCTCAGAAGCTCTCTGGAGAATCAGCTCTGAGTCGATTTCAACTTGAAAGTAATGAGATTGAGTTTTGACTCTTTTTTTCCTTTTTTTTTTTTTTAATGACAGCACTGTCACAGTGCAAAAACAGCATCACTTCTGAATGAACGTAATTGAAAATTGAACTGCTTTGGATTCTGTTAGTGAGATGGGTTCTACCACTCGGACAAAATGGGCTTCCGGTGATTTTTAAATGAAAGGACATTCTAAATATTTAATGATGTCTTGTAAGCCTTTATAGAGTAATAATAAAATTATTGTTGTTGAGTGGCATTGAGTTGAGCACGACTTAAAGTGACCCTGTGAACAAAAGGCCTGAAGCCTATCTATACCTATCGACATTTATCAAAGGTCATAGGGTTTCCAGAGGCATGTGTTGTTTAGGAAGTGAATGCAACTCCTGCTTCCAAAATAATAAAATTATAAAAAATTATAAGTGATAAGTTTTTGTCACTAACTAAGAATGTGTCCAGGAAATGTGTAAATAATGGTCTTTGATTTTGTTAGTCACACTCGAACACTAGATTCACTGAAAGGGCTCGTGCTTATATTTCTAAGCTCTATTTGCCAGTTGGAAATGAAGAGGAATTGTTACAGTACTGGTATTATTTTCTCTGATTATTTCAGGTATTATTTTAGTACATGATTTAACAAATAAGAAATCATCCCAGAACGTGTATCGTTGGTCACTGGAAGCTCTCAACAGGGATTTGACACCAACTGGAGTCTTGGTAACAAATGGGTAAGTCCAGTTACTTCTGGTTTGGAATGTTATGTCAAAGGAAAGAACTCTCCATAAAGGAGCGCTGGTGACACAGTAGTTAAAGCATTCAGGTGCTAACTGAAAGGTTGACAGTTCAAGCTCACCAGCTGCTGTGTGAAAGAAAGACATAGCAGTCTGTCTCCATTCAGACTGTTTTCATGGAAACCATAGTGGGCGCGTCTGTGCCATCCTCAGGGTTGCTGTGAGTTGAAATTGTGGTGCTGGGTTTTAGTTTTGATTTACCCTCCACAGTAGTACTCTCTGTAAGATGCTTGCTTTGCAAATATTTTCTTGGCCTGTGGATTTTTTTTTAAACAAATGTTTCTTTTCCTAATTGGTAGTAATCAATACTAGAGAATTTACAAAAGAATTTGTACTTCTATGTATTACTGGTGGTCACTGTGACTAGTATAATGCTGTCAGAATGCAGACTTAGCTGCTAAATTATTCAAAAGATACTCATTCAATTTTGTGGGGGGAGGTTTTTAAGAGTCATTTTCCATTAAGAGAAAAATTGTGCAAAAATATACAAAGTTTCTCTCTCACTTTATTAACCCCCAGCACACTGCACTGTTTGTTTTATTATTACTACTTGTGTTTGTATGGTATAGATTTTTATTTCCTTCTTTCTTTCTCTGAACAATGTCATTCACAAATCAGACACTCTTGAGCATTAGATGTCCTCTTTCCTATTCCTTGAGCCCAAACTGTAGGACTTAATGAGGTTTTTCTGTCCACACCAAGAGCCTCGCTCAAGAATGGGAGGGGGGGGGGGCTAGATTAATTCACTGCCAGTTTAGTGATCCGTCAAATTATTTTCTTCTTTCTCAGCCTGCCTGTGTGCTGTTAACTTTTCAGAGTTCTCAAATAGCTGCTTGCATCACTAAATCCAGGTTTTCTAGCTGCTTTAAGTTGAGAGAGAGGGTGGATTTGCCTGCTCCTTCTCATGTAGAACAGAGCTCTGTTTTCTACTTGCCCTTGAAGAATGGCATTGAAGACTGTTCTATACAGAGAGCTAATTGTTAGGTGAAAACCAAGTGTACCATAATTTATGTGGGTTCATTGTAAAATCTAAGGAATAAACACTGCTAATTTTAAATCAAGATTGGTGGACGATTTATCAACAATCTGCGTTATGCAGATGACACAACCCTGCTTGCTGAAACTGAAGAGGACCTGAAGCACCTGCTGCAGAGGGTCAAGGACTGCAGCCTCCAATATGGATTGAGACTCAATGTCAAGAAGACAAAGATTCTCACCACTGGACCAATTGGCAGCATCAGGATGGATGGTGAAGAGATTGAGATTGTACACAGCTTTAGTTTGCTTGGCTCCACAGTAAACAGTCTTGGCACCAGCAGCCAGGAAATTAAAAGGCACATTGCCATGGGAAAGTCTGCTGTTAGGGACCTCTCCAAAGTACTGAAGAGCGATGATGTCTCTCTGGAGACTAAGGTGTGTTTGATACAGGCCATGGTCTTCACAATCACTTGTTATGCATCAGAGAGTTGGACAGTGACCAAGGAGGACAGAAGGAGAATTGATAATGCCTTTGAGCTGTGGTGCTGGAGAAGAGTATTGAGAATAGCATGGACTGCGAGGAAAACAAACAGATTTGTCCTGGAAAGGGTTAAACCGGGTGGCTCCTTGGAGGCAAGGATTCTGAGGCTCTGTCTAACATACTTTGGACATGTTGTGAGGAGAGACCGGTCCTTGGAGAAGAACACCATGCTTGGGAGGGTGGAGGGACAGCGCAGGAGAGGAAGGCCCTCTATGAGGTGGATTGATTCAGTGACTGGGGTAATCTGGATGGGAGTGTCAGAGACAGTGTGAGTGACACAGGACAGAGCAGAGTTTAGGGCTGTTGTACATAGGGTCGCTGTGAGTCACAAGCGACTCGACGGCACATAACAACAACAACAATTTTAAATCACTCCTGCTTCCTTCTCAGGTCTTTTTTTTTTTCCCCATCACTGATATCTTCATCAACTTGGCTGTATTTTGATTTGTTTTTATTTTCTACTAAAGTCATAATTACTAAAAAAAATTGTCTTAAATTTAGGATTAATGGTATATTCAGATCCCGAAGAAATCTGGATTTGTGTCATGAAATTCAAACAATGGAGCAAACTTCAGATTTGCATTATGACCCCACAGTCTAATTTGAATGTTATAGATGAACATGCAAATGTATGAAACATTAATAGCTTGTCCTTCAGAATGGAGTTATCACCAGAATATAGTATTGGTTTAAAAATTCAAAGTGTAGAGAGTGTATAGTTTGCCTGCTATTGTGTAAGAAAGGGAAAGAATAAGAATATGTGCTTATGTTTATGTGAAGAAAGAGTGAAAAGTTGGATAAACTAATAAAACCTGTTATCTGTAGGGGAGGAGGGTAGATGAGAAGAGCAGGGCAGGAGGAGAAATAAAACTGCTTAGCACACATTTTTTTATGTCATTTTAAATTTTGAATCATGTTTTAAAACAATTTTTATACTTCATATGAAAGAAAATTTCACAAGTATCTCCATGTAAAGAGTAGTATACTGAACGTCTGTCTATATATCGCTCAGTTCCAACAATGGCCAATTTTATTTCACCCACCTTTAAACATCCTCCACCTTCTACCTCTCTCAAATGGATTATTTTGAAGCTACATTGATATTATAAGAAAGTCTTGGCAGAAGGGCCTTCAGATCAAGTTGTCATGGGCTTTGATGTAATAAATAAAATGATACTATTTTATTAGAAAGTTTTATAATTTTGTTACAAGGTTGAAGAGTAGCTGAGACTCTGAAAAATTATTTTGAAGGACAAAGATTTAGCACTTCTCTAGTTTAGATCTCAAAAAGAAAGAAAATTAATATTAAAGGAAAAAAAGGCTATGCTCAACTGGGTTGTATTGATTGGATTTTATATTATTGATTTGTTGTCATAAGTTGCTTTCAGCCAGAGTTTGCTGACTGTTGTAAATTGATCTTATGACATGTCAGAATTCCAAATCTCTTATTTCTCATGTGTGAATAGAATTTAAATTTGTTCAGAACATTAGGTTCCATGTTCCTTTTAGTAGTGAAAGCAACTTCTACTCATTACACCATCCATAGGCAAATACAGGGTTGGAGAAAAATTGTAACAACAAATGAACCAAGTTACTCACCCTGCGTGATTCTTTTTGCCTGTCATCCAACAACTAGTGTATTTTTTTTCCCTTTTACTATTCATGTTTCATTCTAAGTGTTCCCTTTCTTTTGTTGACTCCATTTTTCCCCAGGCTTTACTACCATCTGTTTTTTGTTTATTCTCTCTCTAAGCATTCCCACTCTTCATTTTCCTTTACTGTTCATAGGCAAAAATATCTATGGTAGGTATACAATCAATGCACGCTCCAGAAGAGTATCCACAAAGCTTGCTGTTTCCCACCATTGAAGTCTGAATCTTACTCAGTGAAAAATTCCCAAGTTCTTCCCCTAAGAAGACAGAGTTTGGAGGGACTTAAGTCAGCCTTCTTTGGCATACCTTGTGGGCACTCAGGTTTTCAAGTAGTCTCCAAAGGCACGTGGAAACAGATTTTCAGTAGTTGAATAGGTAGTGAGAGTAAATTGATAAATAATCAGTAGATAGAAGATAAGTAGGTTAATAGATTGTATATGAAGAAAGGTCAGAAAATTATAAGTAAACTGATGTAAGCTAATTCCATTTAAATAATACACATAAATTCTGTTTACCTCTCTATTATTGTTTATTGCAGGGAGTATGATCGGGAACAGTTTGCTGATAACCAGATCCCACTGTTGGTAATAGGCACTAAATTAGACCAGATTCATGAGACTAAGCGCCATGAAGTTTTAACCAGGACTGCTTTTCTGGCTGAAGATTTCAATGCAGAAGAGATTAATTTGGTTTGTATTTTCACTTAATTATTTTATATTAGAGATTATATAGAGAAGGACAAACTGGAGACCTCACATCATATACAATAAAATCTTTGAAAGCCAGAATCGGTGTCTGGCAGAAAGAAACCTGTCAGAGACCTAAAAACTCAAATATTCTTCACTAATAGAGAGTGATAGAAAAAATGGGAAGAGTGCACCCCACCAAAGGTGGGAAGCTTGGAAGACCACAGATAACAAGACAGTTCTGTCAGGTTCCAGCTCTCACAGGTTCCACTGCAGGCTAACAAAAGGAACTTCGCACCTGAAGTCAGTCTGTTTGCATTCTAGTCCCAAATGTCACCCTTATTGGAATCAGAAGCTCTAGATGATTAGATGGCCACAGTCACTTTCAGTCTCCAGGAAGCTGACCAATTGGAAACCACAGTGGCCAGAACAACCCCAAAACTGTCCGTGTTTGATAAGTAATGTTCAGCAGAGGCTTTCTCATAGCTGTATTTTTTTTCCAGTCAAACCAAAATTTTTGTAACAAAATTCATTTAACTGACAAACTAGAATCACTAATACTGAATCTTTATCATTCTTGCTTTAAAAAAGCTTCTTAACTTCAAAATTTACTTCAGAAATATTTATTTTAAAGAACAAACAAGTAAATGAGAAACAAAACTAGCAGTTATTCATAAACATGTTTATATAAATTTATTTGTATAGGTTTATAAATGTTATAAGATTAATCCGTTTGTGTGTATGCAGCGAACAGAGGTCCTTCCTGAGATAACTAGATACTTCTATTAGAATTTGGTGCTAACAAAAGAAAAGCTGAAAGGCGATTCTCACATAAGGCAGTTACCCAGAGAACTTCCAGAGTGATTGCACTATTTTACACTCCCACCAAAGCTGAATAAGGGTTCCAGTTCCTCCACAGCCTCACCAGCATTTGTTGTTAGCTGCTTTGTAGAACTTTGCTATTGTTACTAGAGTGAAATAGTATCTCATAGTTGTTTTGATTTGCATCTCTCTGAGAACTAAGGAGTTTGAACATTTCTTCATTTGTTTGTTGGAATGTGCCCTAAACAAAGGGACACCACAACAAGAAAAGGTAAATAACCCAATTGAAAAATAAGCACAGGATATGAACAGACACTTCACGAAAGAAGGCATTCAGATGGCTAACAAACACATGAAGAAATGTTCAAAATCCCTAGCCCTAAGAGAGATGCAAATCAAAACAACTATGAGATATCATCTCACCCCATTCAAAATAGCAAAATTTAACAGAACAGCAAGCAACAAATGCTGGCGAGGTTGTGGAGAAACTGGAACCTTTATTCACGGTTGGTGGGAGTGTAAAATGGTGCAACCACTGTGGAAGGCGGTATGGCGCTTTCTCAAAAAGTTGCAGATAGAGATACCATTTGACCCCAAAATTCCACTACTGGGAATATACCCACCCCAAAGAGATCATAACTGCCACTCAAGCAGATATATGCACACCCATGTTTATCGCGGCTTTGTTCACAATAGTAAGGAGTTGGAAACAACCTAAGTGCCCATCAACAAATGAATGGATAGAGAAGCTGTGGTATATTCACACAATGAAATACTACACTGCATTGAAAAACAAGGAACTCATGCAATATTATTCAAAATGGGTGACCCTGGAGGACATTATACTGAGTGAAGTATCTCAGTCACAAAAGGACAAATACTGCATGGTGACAGTGCTGTAAAACAGGACTGACTTCAGGGTTGGGAGGAGACTGAGAAAGATGGGTTCAATAATGTATACTGCATTGAAACAGATGAGGGAGAAAACTATTTAAAAGGAATATGTTATTAGGTATTTTTGTCATGATGGGAGTCCAGAGCAAAGGCTGCATAGTGGAGTGGACCTGTGGAGGGATTGTAAAACAATGAAAGAATTTTTTTTTACTTTTCCAAGAATATAGTGTACTAGGGGGCAGGGCTGGCAGGGGAGAGGAGAAAAGTGCAACTGTGAATGAATGGAAGAAAAGTGCAACTGTGAATGAATGGAAATCCATAGTCTGTAAATTTTCATTGAAATTAATAAGAAATTTAAAAAAAAATAAAATAACAATATAAAAAAAACGAGGGCTGCCACCCAAACAGATAAATGCACACCCATGTTTACTGCTGTGTTATTAATAGTAGCAAAGAGATGGAAGCAACTCCAGTGCCCGTCAACAAATGAATGGAGAAAAAAAATTATGGTATATTCACACAGTGGAATCCTATATAGCACTGAAAACAAAGAACTCATAAAATATTACATAATATGGGTGACCCAGAGGACATTACACTGAGTAAATTATATCAGTCACAAAAGGACAAATACCATATAACACTATTGTTATAAAACAAGACTGACATGAAGGTTAGGGAGAAACTAAAAAGAGAGGGTAAATAATGAACACTGCATTGGAACAATGAAGGAAAGAACTACTTAATAGGAATGATTAGGATATGATTAGCCATTATTTGTATGATGACAGTCCAGAATAAGAGATGCACAGCAAGGTGTTCTGGGGAAGTGGGGGCGTGAAGCTATGCAACAGTGAGTGAAAAAATTTTTTAAAGTGAACTATGGTGAGTAGGGAAGAAAATGTGCAACAATGGATGAATGAAAATCTAACTTTTCCGTAAACATTTATTAAAATCACAATTACAAAAAAAAAAGAATTTATTTAAAAAAAGAGAGAGAGAGACTGACAAATACAGCCAAAATTGAACAATCTGGAGAGGATAAAATTGATGAATGGGACTTTCTAAAGATTAAATCTCTGTGCTCATCAGAAACTTCTTTCAACAGGGTGAAAAGAAAACCTATTAGCAGGAAAATGTATTTGGAAATCCCATCTCAGACAAGGGTCTCATAACAAAAGTTTATAGAATGTTCCTTGAGCACTGGTGAATACATTGCACTAAAACAGCGGAGTTTCTTGTTTTTAATGGCTGTGTTCTGATTTCAGGAATAAATGTAGGTAGGTCTGATTAGCTCTTTGGGCTTGTCATTACTAAAGTATTGACAGTTTTATCTTCCTTCAGGAATTTGTTGGTCAATACCTTAATACACTGTCCTCTAAAATTGCTTCAGTGACAAAAAAATAAATGACCTTATCATCCCTTTGCCCTTTCACTTTGCTGTTTGTATCAGAATTTTAAAATTATCTCAGTATTATGAGAGTGTTGTGCCTAATACTTTACTCTGGAAATGGACGACAGGAATAGTCATGACTAACAAAAAAGCTTGTTTCCTAACTTTACCATGGGGAATTTATGTTTCATCTTCTAGGACTGCACGAATCCACGATACTTAGCTGCTGGTTCCTCCAATGCTGTCAAGCTCAGTAGGTTTTTTGATAAGGTAATGACTTCAATTAAGTTATTTTAAACCTAGTTTATATATTATGAAAGTTTAAATTCTTTATAGAATGCTGGGGCCTTTAATTCCTTCGTGCTGAACACCACAGCCTGGATAATACTTGTTTTGATCTCCCATATCTGTTAGCATAATTGCACAAGGCCTGCTGACGTATTTGTTTCATCACCAATGTTCTCTCAGCAAAAGGTGAAAGCTACTAAATTCAAAGGGATGTTTTAAAAATAATAAATGCATAATTCATCTGTTTGAGGCTATTTATTTGTGTCCCCATTTTCTAGCTCCTTATTGAACTTCTTCTTCCCAGGATTTACTTAACTGAGGCAATTCAGTTTAAATCCCATAGTTCGTTTTTACTCTCTCGGCGATTATAATTTGCTCCCTCACTGTTACGATTACTTTGTTACCCGGTCATTTCCTTGATCCTCTCAGTGGCACAATCGATCTCTGTGTCCTTACCAGAATGAAGGTGTAGAAAGAGTCAGCATGCTGCTCACTCAGATCACCGCTGTCTTCCCTTAACAAGGCCAGATGGCTACGTTGTACATGACATTGACCAAGTTTAAGTGTTTGCCCAATAGTGCCATCACAGAATAAATAAAAAGGGGTTGAATTCTGTGTTCATTTTTACTCTCTGCTGATAGGTGAAGAGTTGTGCTGCCAGCTGAAGGGCAAGCGGTGCTAGTCTACCAGCTGCCCCGCAGGAGATAGATGAGCCGTCTTCTTGCTGCAGTTGACAGCCTCTGAAAACTCACTGGAGGGTCAGCTGTGAACCCACGGCAATAAGAGAGACACACACAGTTCTGTTTCAGCCTCCTAAGAAAAACATTTCCTTCTTTATACTTTTTTGCAATCAGTTTTCTTCTAGCTTTTGACCATTTTGTCCAGTATGTCAGCATAGGATAAGCTCCGTGTTTCTCTCAGTGCTTAATATGACATGATTGAAACTTCACAAGTGGAGTATGGCAAGAAAGTTACAGATGTGCCAGGATAGTGCTTTCTTGCCATTCTCAGAGCAGCCAGAGCCCCCAGACTCAGTAGTTGCCATGTAGGGACTTCCATGGCTCCTATTCCAAACTTCACAACACTGTCTCCTTTAAAACCACCATCCTGTTGGCTTCTATCTGATAGGGAAAGACCCTACTGTGTATCACTTACATTTTAATAAGATATTAATTTTATAGTTAAATATAATGTAATAAACTGGTAAGAAAAATGAGTTATTGACCAGTCTGACTCAAGTTGTCCACGTTTTATTTTTTGGAAAAAGAAGGAATTTATTTCAAGGAAGGAGCAAACTTTGGTAAGAGAGAGGCAATGCATATGAGAACTAGAGAGACAAAAATCTAACATTTCTCTTCATTATTTTAGTTATTAAGTAGGAATGTGTATTAGGAGTTTGCCAGACTTCCTGACTGAAGTGGTTTCCTGAAACCCAGGGACCTGACAGTAAATCTGGATTTTCACCTAATTTTCAATATATCACACCTTCCAGAGTCTTGTGTATCTTAAATATTTCCTCTATAAGAGAGAGACTGACTCTTTCTGCCCTCCGCCTTTCTAGAATGAGAAGTTTTTTGTCTTTGCAAGAGGAAAATTAGATATTTCCCTTCTTGGTATCTGTAATAAGAAACTGCTCCAATTCAGAGCATTTCTTAGCTTACTTATGCTAAATGTAAATGCAATAAGTATTCATTTCCAGCTAATAGTCTTTATTATTATTAACTTTTCTTATTACGGCAGTTCTGCATAAGGAAGATAATCCTATCTCTGCAGCCATTGTAGTTTCTCAATTACTGAAACAGAGTTATACCCATTCCTCTCTTAACCAGTTTGGTGGTGATTGTTGTTGTTACTAAGTGCCATCAAAATCATGACTCAACACAACCCTATTAACAAAAGACCTAAGCCATGTTCTACAACTGCTGTCATTTTTCTAAGTTCTAGATTTTACAGAGGCATGTTGTTTAAGAAGTGGATGCTACTCTTGCTTCCAAGCCTGTCTCTAGGAGCTCCACCAAACACTACACCATGGTAACCATACACCATGGTAACTACACCATGGGTAACCATAATGGCATTTGACAAACCAAGGTCACAGAGTTGAGCAATCCAGCAACGCCACGTTACCTTAGTACAGCAAATTGACAGACCATTCCTGTACCACTAGGAAGAATGTTCGTCCCAAACACAATTAACATGAGGGCCAAGGGCCCAACTGACTTTTAAATACAAGGACCGCCATCCAGGTCCTGGTTGACTCTAAACAAGAGGCTTCCAGGCTTATGGTTATGCTAAATCCAGCAAATCAAATCAGCTCACACAGGATTGTGGATGAAATTAAAAAACAACAAACAGTCCACACCCAACTCTCAATAAAAACAAGAGAATCCACCTTCCAGAATCCAACCGCTTCACACATGAGTCTCCAAACTGGATACTTAGGCCCCAGCCAACTTTTAAATACAAACCACTCCCACCAGGTCCTGATTGACTCTAAGCAAGAGTCAACTTGGTTAAGTCCCCATAAACCAGATCATTATGCAAAACATTAGTGTTATGTAAAAATGGAGGATGACCATATCACATCACAAAATGCAAAATAACTGCATCATTACATAATAGTCGAATCATTGAAAGTCACGACCCAGCAAGTCGATCCATAACCTTAACCATTACATCTAGTGTTCTCTCCATTTCACACGTCAGCGGTCATTACTACCACTATCATGACAATTAAAGTATGTCATTAATAAGAAAAATAGTTGGATAGTAGATTTTTTCACTATTGTCGTAAATGTATAATGTCATATAACAAGATAGTCAATAAGTAATGTCAGTATAATGATTTTTTCCTAATGTTTTTCATCACAGAAACACAGTAGTCTTAAACTCATTGTATTAGCACATGTATTTATACCATATTAGATCAGTCTGTACAGGTACATCTGCTGCTTTAACTGATTTTCACCTGTTGACAAAGCACAACTAATCCAAAAATTAATGAATTAAGGTGCAAATTAATTAAAAAAAAAAAGCCTAGCTAACTATCTTTAGTCTTGGGTAATCTGTCTACTTTGACTATTTGGGAACTTACCATTATATTTATTATAGTTATGTGTCAGTTCATTATATTACATAGCCTCCTTTTTTATAAAGGAATAGCTACTATTGTCATAGAAAAATACTTTGTTTTTATTGTTTGTTTGTTTTTACCTGGTGATACGTCCCTTTTGGGGCTGACTACTGGGCAAGTGCAGAAGATGAAGGAATGCAGCTTTCAGGGAAAAGGAAGTATGGCTTTCATCTCAATGTCAGGAAAACAAAGATTCTTACCACTGGACCAGTAGGCAGCATCATGATGAATGGAGAGAAGACTGAAACTGTCAACAGCTTCATCTTACTTGGATCCACAATTAACACCCTTGATACCAGCAGTCAGGAAATAAGGAGATTCATTGTGCTGGGGAAATCTGCAGTTAGGAACCTTTGCACATTATTCAGGTATAGTGATGTCAATTTGAAGACTAAGGTGCATCTGATTCAGGCCATAATCATTCCGATTACTAGTTATGCATCTGAGACCTGGACAGTGAATAAGGATGACAGAACAAGAATTGATGCCTTTGAGCTGTGGTGTTGGAGAAGAGCACTGAACATCCTAAGAGAAGGAACAAATATATCTTGGAGAGGGTGCATCCAGACTACTCTTTGGAGGCAAGAATGATGATGCTTTGCCTCACATATTTTGGACATATTGCTAGAAGGTGGTATTCCTTGGAGAGGGACAAGATGCTGAGAAGGGTGGAGGGTTGGTGAAGAAGAGGAAGACCCTCAATCAGGTGGATTGATATGATGACTTCTGCATTGGGCTCTTGTGTGTCAGGACGTGTAAGGATGGTGTAGGATAGAACAGGATTCAGATCTTTTGTTCATCAGGTCACTGAGTTGAACTTGACTCAACAGCACATAACAACAGCTGGGGAAGTTAGGGCCAAACATGCTGCCTTCAGCAAGATTATATGGAATCCTATGCCATTGATTTCTTCATTTTACCTGTGATCATCTATCTGGTCGTGTCGTGTGTTAATTTACTTTTTGAGCTAATGGGCTGTTTGTGTTTTCAGTCAAGCAGGCCTTCACGGAGATACTCCCAGAGTCCTGATCTCATTAATTCACTGTCTAGGTATCCTTCTAGAACTGTTCATAAGATCAGCCAGATAGTTAATTCCAGTAGTTGTCATTACAGTTGCCACTTTACAGGTATATTTACTGTGCTCTAAAATTTGTTTCTCTGTTTCTCACAGGTCATAGAGAAAAGATACTTTTTTAGAGAAGGAAATCAGGTTAGTATCTATCATCTTTTTTCCCCCCTACAGTAGGACCTTACTCTTAGAGAGGGATGGCTTCCAAATGTATAGAAGTGTTTTGAAAAAGTGGGAAGAAGCCATGTGTATACATGCTACTGTTATTAGGCACTGTCCAGCCAATTCCAGTGCATAGCTTCCCCGTACAATAGTGTGAAACTACCCTGGAGTGTTTGGTGGCACAGTGGGTTAAGTGCTCAGCTGCTGTGTCAGAGGTCAGCAGTTTGAACCTGTCAGCCACTCAATGGGAGAAGGAGATGGCAGTCTGCTTCTGTAATAATCACAGCCTTGGGAACCTGATGGCGATGGTCTGCCATGCCCTGTTAGAGTTGCTGTGAATCTGAATTCATGCAGGCACCTAACAGCGGCTACAGATTAACCTTCACAGCAGCCAGTCATCATCTTTCTCCTGAGGAGCCACTGGTTGGGTTTGAACTGTCACCCCTTCATTTAGTAGCTGAACACGTAACGGCTATGCCACCAGGGCTCCTTTATTTTAGACATAAGTAGTTGCTTTCTCTGAGATCAGCTGGCCCAGTGATGAGAAAACGATGTGACCAAGACCAAGGTGGGTGACTTTTAATCCACAGCCCTCAGGCCAGTCTTTCATTGTTTTTGTTCAGCCATTCCTCTAGTTTGTATAGCCCTGGTGTACAAGTTGCAGTCCCACGGTCACTAGTGGTTGCTGTGAGGCTGAATACTGTGACACGGATGTGTCAAATGCGTTAATGGTTGGCTACCCAATGCGGACAGAGAGTGGGGTGGAACTCCCCAATTAAAACAAGCATGGAAGGAGGAGTGGCATCCACTTCCATAATAGCTTGCCTCCGGAAACCCTATGAACCTGGAGAGAGGATGAAGGGCACCCAAGCGTCGAGGACTCTCCTTCATAGGGTCGCTATGAGTCACCTTCGACTCAACGGCACTTAACAACAACAACAGCAGTTGCTTTCTCTGCTATCCTGTTAAATACCAAAAGAGGAAATAGGGAAAATAAGGGTCTAAGAAACAACAGAAAAGCCAAAGATAAGGTTATATAATAAATAATAGAAGAAAATCATTTGCATAACACTTCCAGAGGCTACCAGAATGCATTTAGTTCTTCTAAAACTCCAGTATGCACATATTACTCTGACTTAGGTGATGGTGTTACCAGGTAGTTTGCATATATTTCCCAGTTTGGTAGAATGTTTTTGTTATTCCAGCTTCACTGATTTTCTAAATAAAATTTCAAGAGGAGAGTGGTTTAAGGACCAATAGGCAGATAAACAGAAACAAAATATAAAAAGATTTCAAGTTATTAGTATTTGGTTTCATCCTGCTTGAGACTTAACTGGGACTGTCTTTCTTGCCCACAGATTCCAGGCTTTCCTGATCGAAAGAGGTTTGGGGGAGGCACATTAAAGAACCTTCATTATGACTGAGCCACCCTCATCCTTTGGAAGAGTGAGCAGGCAGTTACGTGCAGATGTTCACAGCTTTCCTCTTGCTGTGTCAATTATTAACGTCGCAGCCTTTTAACAAAATCATCTTAAAATGCCACCCTCCTGCCTCCTGCTGTAATGGCAAAATCAAAGGAAGTGACTGTGGGAGGTCCAAACTCTGTCCCCATTCTCCCGTTCTTCACCCTTCTGTCCCTGTTTAGATTATGTAAAAGCCTCGTGGAAATATGAGATGTTGTCAGAACGATGCAGTAAATGAGCAGTGACAGAGTGCTGCGGGGAAAATGTACTTTTGCCTGGAACTAGAGAGTTTTTATGGGTCTGTAATTTTCCCACACTCATTGCTGAAGGCTTAATTAAGTACTTCCAAAATGTCTATTGTTTTACCTTCTTGAGGGGAAAGGTTATGTTAACCAGCCGAGTTGTCCACCCCAAACAATCTCTTTTTCATTTTCAAAGCAGCAAAATGGTGTTATTTAATTGCCTCCACCCTCATCACAGGCAAGGATGCCTAATAATAGCATCTCTCATCTGCCTCTCCTCTCCTTTGCAAATGGCTCAGTGGCTGGAAGAGGCGGACTAATAGCTGGAGTTAAATATAAATACAGATTAATAATACATAGAGAACAGCAGTGCCAGAAGAGAAGAATTCTGTGAGAAATGACAGCTCCCTAAAGCCCTCACTCGAGGATACAGCTGTCTGCACTCCCTTTCTGTTGTCTGTTTGGAAATCTCATACGCTGCACAAGGACAATAACAGAGATTTACAGCTTCTTCTATTTTTTTCTTTTTCTGAAGGAAAAGCCAAGTCCTGAAATAGTAAACTAAGAATATTATTCTATGTGTCAAGAATGTATTTATGGGGAGAAATAAAAATAAGTTTCTCAGCAACATATTTCCATGAATTAGAGACTTAGATTCTTCGATTTTGTGATCACACCAGTAATTTATTTAGTATTAAATATCATTTTGGTTTGTTTATATATTTCGAATAGGTTTTCTTCCAGGAGGTTGGATTTTTTTTTTTCAGAGAGAGAGAATATGTGTGTGTGTGTGTGTGTGTGTGTGAGTGAGAGAGAGAGAGAGAGAGAGAGAGTGTATGCTTGCATAACTTTTTTATTTTCATTTTTTTAAACCCATCTTTATTGCTTACTCTCTCTGCTCCAGCTCTTACTATATAAACCTGGTTTCTAACACTTCTAATTTGTTGTCTTACTCAGCAACACATTATCACCCATATTCTTTCTCTGACTCTGCTGCAGTTCTCTATACTCTTTCTTTTGCTCCCTATTAAAAATAATATCAAATACACAGCTTAGAATTATTTTAAAACTAGAGGGAAACACTAAATGCACTTTGCATTCTGTTTTCATTATATGTCAAAAGCACCATGGAAATCAAAATACACTGATAAGAGGATATTAAAATAAGAACGTTAGTGCTTTTAGAAAGGCAGTTTTGAATTTAAATTGTTAAAGCACTTTCATCAGCTAGAACATTCCTCTCCACCCCCTCAGGTCTTAGCCCTGATTTCTTTTCTGACATTAAGGAGAGGCGGGCAAGTCACAGTGTGTCTGCTGAGTCTGGCTGCCACAAGTGTGTCATGGCAGAGGCTATGCATTTGGAAAGAAGTCCAAATGTGTGCAGCAAGGCTCAAGCCAGTTAAAGTTCTTTCTGTTCTCCTTTTTAAAAACTACTGGGCAAGCAAGAAAATGCATCCATAATCTCTATTTCCATTCTTCATATTTCTTTCTTATAATCAAAAATTAAATGCACCTCAGTTCCTTTATCTTCTCATTAAAATAGCCCATCACTTAATACACCAACTTTTGCAAGTTAATGGTACTTCTCAACTCCATTCCTTGGTGCTGCCAGTTTTGCTCCTTGAATTGTAATTGTCTAAGAAAGAATAACTTTTTTTTTTTTAGGCTGCAAAAAGTTTTTACTAAATTACACTTGGAAACAGGAAAATCCCAGGTGGCTAGGAACTCACAGCCCTCATTTCACACACCAGCCTTAGAATAATTTTTAATAATCTAATCAGTTGTGCTGCCAGCGCAAAGGGCTGTAGTTTGAATCCATAGCTGTTCTATGTTGTTGTTATTGTTGTTGTTATGTGCCGTCAAGTTGTTTGCGACTCATAGCGACCCTATGTACAACAGCCCTAAACCGTGCTCTATCCTGTGCCAATCTCATTGCCTCTGACACACCCATCCCGATTACCCCAGTCACTGAATCAATCCACCTCATAAAGGGGCTTCCCCTCCTGGGCTATCCCTCTACTCTACCCAGCATGTTGTCCCTCTCTAAAGACCTGTCTCTCCTTACAACATGTTCAAAGTATGTCAGACTAAGTCCCAGAATCCTTGCCTCCAAGTAGAAGAGAATCCTTGCCTCCAAGGAGCAGCCTGGTTTAACCCTCTCTAGGATGAATCTGTTTGTTTTCTTGGCAGCCCATGGTACATTCAGTACTCTTCTCCAGCACCACAGCTCAAAGGCGTCAATTCTCCTTCTGTCCTCCCTAGTCATTGTCCAACTCTCTGATGCATAACAAGTGATTGCAAAAACCATGGCCTGTAACAGGCACACCTTAGTCTCCAGCTGTTCTATGGAGAAGGAAATATGGGCAACCTCCTCCCATGTGATTTACTGCTTGAAAACCTGCAGAAGGGTCAGCTATGAGTAGGTTCCTACACAACAGCACAAAACAACAAGGTTAATTTAATAGTAGCCTAGTGGTAAGAAGCTGCTCTGCAATCCCTAAGGCACGTGGTTCAAATCCACCAGCTAGCTGCTCCACAGGAAGAAAATGGACAGTTTCCGTCTGTGCTATTAACTGCCTTTGATACCCTCCCGAGGGTCAGCTATGGATCAGTTCCAGCTCAGTGGTACACAACAACAACAGTGGTGTAGTGCATGTGTAAGGCTGCAGTTCAAAACCACCAACTGCCCTCTGGAGAGAAATGGGCAATCTCCCATTTTTTATGGCATCAGAAGCCCAGTGGGCGTCACTGTAACACAATGGGCATTGGGTTTGAAGTTACTGGGTTTTAAGGTTAATTTGTTGAGAACCTGAGTAATAATAAGACTGCTAGAATTAAAGTTATTAGAATTTTAAGAGAATGGAGGGTGTTTTTTTTTAAAGAGAATGTGTTTAAAACAAATTTTGTTACAATATCCTGAGAACTACTTATAAAAATTTCTTTCGGATAGTAACCAATTGTTAAGTCCCAGAGTAAGCCCCCCCCCCAAATGTTTCTTACGTCATCCATTTCCTTACTTTTTTGATGGGACAAGTTGCTGGCCATAAGGCGCTCTCCCCTGCCTCCGTGTTCTGAAGCTTTCACCACTTTTCACATGTGACTGAGGCAGGATGTTGAAGGGTAGGCCCTTGGATCCAGTGTTGGGCTATCACACATTATTATTTAAGAAAACCTGCTCCCAAAGAGATTGAGCCTTTCTGTGCCACTCTAGAGTTCTCAGAATTCTGCAGACCCAAAACATCCACGGGACATGTGTGTGTCCTGGCACTGCTGAGGGTTCTTCTGTCCATTCTGATAGCACAGGAACTGAGATAAAGAACTCGTGATGCTGTCGAATAAGAACATTTGAATCTCCATTTCAATAGGGTGTCTGTTGAAACACCCATCAGAGGAAAGATGCTGCTTTCATTGGATTGTTAAAGCACAGCTAACATCCTTTCTAAAGGAGTTTGAAGGTCTAACAGGATATCTGTGTTGATTTAAAATTCAAAGAAAGGTCCTGGGGAAAGGAGGTAAGGAAATGAAAAGTTCATTCTCTCAAAGCAGCCAAATTAAGGGTGGGCTTCAAGATGCATAATTCTGGGAGAAACCTGAACCTCCAATTCCATGATATTTTTACCTGTTGCAAACTAAGACTGACAGGGTTCCTCTGTGGAGTGGGAAAGAGATCAGACTTTGAATTACAACTAGTCTGAACCTCCATTTAAGGGTCTGTATTTCAAACTCTGTAAAGCCCCTGAAATGCTTGCTTAAAATGCAGATACTAAGGTTTTCATCCCCTTCAGAGTCTAATTCCAAGTTAAAAAAAAAAAAAAAGGCAGGGCCAGGATTTAGCACTGTTATCAAGTAATTCTGATGGACGTAGTCTAGGGCAATCACCTTTGAGAAGGATAAACTGCTATGGAAAAAGTGCAGGATTGTGCATTCTGTGCTTTCTAAGCCCCAGTAAAGCAGAGCTCCTCAAAGTCCTCTCTGGCCACCTCACCACCTCGGTGAAGCAAACCCCGCCCTCTCAAGGCAGGCCAAAGCAAACAGCAGTTGCTCATCACATCCTGGGTTGGTAAAACAAAGGTTTCTGTTTGATGTAGTCCTACCTCTTTTTTTTTCTTTTTTTGAGTGTCACTTTGTTCCCCACCAAACCTACAGCCATCAAGTTACAGGGACCCTCCGTGCGGATTCCATGACTGTAAATTTTAATGAGAAAAGGCAGCCCCATCTTTGTCCCGCAAAGTGACTGGTGGATTCGAACAACCAACCTTTCCATTAGCAGCCTAACATGGAATCCACTACACTGCTTTTGTGTCCTGCAATAGTACCAATCAGTGCTCCCCATCTTACACCTGTTCCTGGCGCTACTGCTTTTTCAGCACGCTTATGTATATCCTGCAATCAGTTCCTCTTTTGGTGGGGGGAGAATCTGAGAGTCCTCTAGCCTTTAAAAAAACACAGAATTATTAAGGGAAAGGGCTCTTTCATGACAAGATTTCTTGCTTGGCATATCAAAATACCGAATTTTTATCAAAAACAATTATACTGGCAAAGGTGTGTAAAATTAACATTTTCATTTCCCCAGCCCTTTCTGAAAAAATGAGTTGGACAAAGCAATTCAAGTGAAAGGTAACATTTACTGAAAGTGAATTATTTATTCCAGTGGCTGAATAATCTTTTGTTGTTGTTATGTGCCATCAAGTCTCTTGCGACTCATAGCAACCCTATCTA